ATGATTCAGTCAGCCTCTTTCTACTGCCTGTAAACCGAACATGGCATTTTCAAAGCCAGGCTTAATCTACAAAGCTCTCTGAACACTGGGTATAAAGAAAAATTGTTGTTCCTCAGCACAAATGTTGACTTGTGTGATGTTGCTGGCAACAGCTGAGAACCTAAGGTTGTTTATAATGCAAGGTAAGAAGATACAAACAAGCTATTATTGCTCTAGCCTGATGGCTTGCCTTGGGTGGATGATTTATTTTGTAGGTACCCTGATTTTAAGTGCATGTGGCGTTAGCCCAATGAAGGGCACTTCGTCAGAGGAAATGCTGATCGGACATTCGTGTAATTAGCTGTCCCTCAGAGGGTTAAACAGATCTTGAATTAAATGCTCTCTGACCTTGTTATGTTGCAGGACTCTATTTTCAGGGTAAAGACTCTGGATTGCAGAGCAGTATCAGCCTTAATCTGTTTCCCCTCTACCCTGCTTTTACTTCCCCCTTAATAGAGGATGCCACACAGGTACAGGCCCTAGATAAAGAGAATCCTGAATTCCAAATACGGCTTCACACAGAACATTCATGGCCTGTGTGCTAAGTTGGAACGTTCCCGCGGTATAGGGGGCCTTGCCTATCAGTTTCTGGAGAACTTGAGTTCTACCGTAGCCATGTCTCTAGTGCTTTTGATGGTGAAGATAACTTTCCCATTCACCGTTCCCCCCCCCCCCCCGCACTGCTGAAAGCCCAGATCTTGGCTCTGTCATTGGCCCTTTGGAGGGAAGGAAGAAGTCTGTCTGCCACTGCTCTGACATCACAGCTGTGTGAGAGAGAGCAGGTGATTTCCACTTTCAGACTTCAAGCTGATGAGTCCAACCTGAAAATCTTTGCAGTGCAGGAAGCTGGGCCAGGCAAAATTCAAGAGAGGAGGCATAGGCACCAACTTCTGCTCTAGCTGGGGGGGTTCTTGACCCCCCCTGGCACTGCCCCCACCCTCCCTCTTCCCACCTCTGCCCTACCTCCACTCTCTCTTCCCCCAAGCCTATGCCTCCTGCTCCACACACGCCAATCCTCCCTACTTCCTCTCCTTCCTGGAGCCTCTGAGCACCATGAACGCATAGTTCATGGCGGTGGGAGGTACTGGGAGGGAGGAGGAGGAGTTGGTCTGCAGGACTGCCCGTGGGCGGGAAACACTGGGGGGAGGGGATCAGAAGGGGGGGCTTGGCTGCTGGTGGGTGCTGAGCACTGCTAGTTTTCTCTCATGGGTGTGCCAGTCCCAGAGCACCCATGGGGGTCAGCACCTGGGGGGAGGGGGGGGAGATTCTGACTGTGCTACGTAACCATGCAGATTCAGGTAAAAAGAGCTGCCACCTGTGGCTACAACCATAGGAATCGCTCTGACTCACCCCTGAGGTGTTAAATGCCTCCACTCACCTCACTGGGTTTTAACTCCAATGTTTCTCTGTATCTGTATTGAGGTCTGTGTTAAGGTCTGCTTGATATAGAGTTTGAAAACTGATTTGAGTTAATCTGAGGCAGGTTGTTGTGTTTGGACCAGGCCTTAACTTTATCCTCCCATCGCATATCTTTCTGGAAATTCAGTAGCCCTCACCAACTCTCCTCCTTCTCAGCTGAATAATGGTGCGTGCACTGGCAATGAGGAAGATAATTAATCTGACTACAAGATGTGTCATGGGCTGATTACATTTGTTTTGTATTTAGAATGGTGACTAACTGTAGAGAACTGATCCTGAAACCTGCTTGGCCGTTAGGCATGTGGGGTTCTGCTTTGTGGCACGTGAGCATTGCACTCCCTTTGTCACGTGCCCTTTCCTCCAGAGTGCCTACGTTACCATAGGGTTGCCAGGTGTCCGGTATTGAACCAGACAGTTCAGTATTTTCGCCTCCTGCCCGGTAAAAAAATTCAGAAAATACCAGATACCTATGTCCGATACTTTCTTATTTTTTCCCAGCCAGGAGGCGAAAATTCCAGGCTGTCTGTCTCAATACGGAGGCAGCCTGGCAACTCTAGTGCTTACCGGGTTCCACAGGGGAGCTGACCGGCCCGGCACAGGGAGGCAAGATAGCAGGTGGTCGCCGGCAGTCTGTTAGGGCCAAAAAGCGTCACCAGGAATTTCTTAAAGGAGCCACAGTGGTGGGGTTTTATTATTTTTTTTGTGTGTTTTTGCTTAACAATTCTCGGGGTCCTTTTTTGTTGTTGTTGGGTATTTTTTCTGAAACCATCTGGCAACCCTACCTACGTAAGCGAAGTCAGTCTCCTTTTGGAATGAAATAGTTAGCTGTGACCCTCACACGGAGCTGTTATGCTAAGTTGTCTGCACGCCTCTGGAGCATGGTACGAGTCCAAAGGCCAATGCTTAAGAGATGTGGGTGAGGGTGTTCCTTCTACTTTCTTTCTATCCATGTGAAGAATGCACTTTATGTGCACGGAGGCATGTGCGGATGTGCATTACTGGTAGAAACACGTACTGCTAGCGGAGGGTGCTCTGCTAATCTGCTGGGCGGCATTTGAATCTCTCCAAGGTGGCTGCTCAAACACTCAGCTTACAGAGAACATTGGTAGGTGTGTCTGGATAAACTAGCTACTTAGTGTGGTAATATAGCCTAAAACATTTAATTTTAGTAACATAACGGTAACCTATCCAGTCTGGATACACGCTTGTGTTAGAATACAACAAATAGTCTAGTAGCACCTTAAAGACTAATAAAACACATAGATGGTATCGTGCTACCATGTAGATGGTAATATGATACCATCTACATGTTTTGTTAGGCTTAAGGTGCTACTAGACTATTTGTTGTTTTTTAAGTTTTTCCTGTTACACAGATCCTAACTCGGCTACCCCTCTGTGTTAGATTGAATGTTTGTTGGCTGGTCCTTTATTCATGCTATTTTACATTGCTAATTACTGATAGACATCTGGGCACATACTAGAGAGAGGTGTGGGTGGATTATTCCCAAATAAAACATGGATCTATAAATAAAATACTATGGCTTGTTGAAGGAACACAGTAAACACTTCTAAAGTAAACTTCTTCCTGCTTTAAACAATAGCCTTCTGCCTTTAAAACATATCCACGATACCAGGGACCGGCACATTTTTAGTTTAAAAATAAACCAATATTATTATTGTTTGGTGTTGAAAAAGACAGAGTAATCCTGGCCTCGAGAGAGTAGCTAACAAGCAGGCCCATGAAGCATCAGGATAACCATTTAGTTAGCCTTATTTTTTTTCCCCCAATAGAACATTTGTGCTCAGACTGAGCTATGTGAAATTTCAGGGCATGTTTGTGTCCAAATTGCTGTGTATTGTCTTTTTTTTAAGTAAACATTGTCACAACCTTTACTCCACAGCTCCTAACATATCAGGTGGCTAAAGCGACTCCCATTTGACCATCTGCCCCTCTGTAGATGAAAGTAGAGGACTGCCTGGGCCACGCCTGAGTGATGGTGCATCCCTTAGAGCAGGTCGCAGTGCCACTCAGTTTGGGGGGCTCTTTCAAATGGGAGATCCCCAGGAAAACTGCACCCCACAGTTTGTCCTAATTGTGAGAAATGTTCCCTTCAACTTGGACAGGAGGTTTTGGGGACAAAGTGGGAAAGTTCTGTAAGATGCAGAATTTTGGGAGGTCTGTAACTCCAGTGTTGGGAATGGGATGGTTTTTCTTACCTTCTAGATTCCGGCAGTAGGATAATAGCGACCATATTTAGTTATGTTGTGCATTAAGTTTTTATTTCTGGGCAAGGTTTGCAAAAGGTCACAAATTAATCTTCTAATTGAGGACCTTGGCATTGTGCAGGATGAATGTTTTGCATTAACAGCCTAACTCATTAATTCACTGAAACATTTAAAACCAAACCAGTTACATCCAGCCGCGCTGAAAAAAGCAGAACATTCAGACCCAGCAGTGTGTATTTTGAAACCTTTTCAACCTTCTTTTGTTAATCTGTATAAAAAGCAAACTCTCTGAAATTGTAAAACACAGTTTATATTTAGTCTTTAGACATTGTTTGCCTTGTAAAAGAGGACACGGACATGAAAAAAAGCCAGCAAAATAATAAGACAACACAGTGGGTTGTTTGTGTGTGACAGAAGAGAAGAAAGGGGGTTATGCTTAAAGCAGCAGTGTTGGTTTTTCAAGTGATCATTAAAGTTAATATAGATATTTACATAATTACTGTTGATTAAAGCTCTTACACCACAGGCTCTAAAATGCAGCCGTCTTCTCTTATACCACCCTGGCGACCCAGTCTTGAGCATCAGTTAGTTGCCACAATGCCAGGCATATGAGTAGCTCATTTTGTTCAGTCTGCCTATGCCCGAGGGACACATGACTGGTATAAACCACCGCCGTCAGAATGCGGGGCTTAAAAGGACGGGCCCAAAACTAAGCAAAGCCAAGAATAACTTGCTGAGTAGAATTTCTTCTATTCATAGTCCGCGCACAGTGTTGATTACAGTCTCGCTATGTGCATTTAGAAACCAGTACAGTGAAAAGTCTGTGCAATGCCCTAGTATAGATGCAGTTGCACTGAAATAAGAGCTTATACAGTAATTCCTCATTTAACACGTGCCCGCTTAACATGTTTTCGCAATAGCATTTTTTTTTTTTAGGGAACATTTTATGAATTACACGACCGTCCCCGGAATAACACGACTTCCCCAGCTGGCCCGTTGCCGGCGGCTGTGCGGGGCTTCCCCCGCCTCCCTGCAAAGTGGTGGAGGGTTCACCACTCGCCGCGCCGTTCCCCGCTGACCATCCCTGATAGACATAACCTACTCTTATATATCTCCAGAGATGGAGATTCCACAACCTCCCTGGGCAATTTATTCCAGTGTTTGACTATGTAATACACATACTTGTGTGTTACATAGCAGAGCATTATTTATGATTTGTCAACCTTTTGGAAGTAGAAGTCATTGTCTCATTCCCTTCGTAACTCTGGTGCTGGTATTCATTCAGCTGATGTTTCATTGCTACTTTCCATTAACAGGTCAATCTGCTGTAGGATAATATATGGGAAACAAAGATCCCATGTGGATGCATGACTCAGCCTGAAGCATCCAAAGTGGTGGAAAGGTAAGTTTTGTTTTGGTACTAATTTTTAACAGTGGTTCATTCACTGTTTTGTTAACCAACACTTAAAAAAAAACCTTGTGCAATCTAATGAAAGGCACACGGGGCATCTTAAAGATTTTATGACACTGGAAAAGCATACAAGATTATTAGCAGTTCCTATAAAGTGCACAGAAACCACCTTGATACTCTTAACATTGTGATTTAGTCAATACATGACTCAATTGCATCTGAGAATCTGCATTAAGTGTAACAGGTGGTTATCCTAGAAATGTAGGGTTGGAAAGGACTTTGAAAAGTCGACTAATTCAGCCCCTTGTGCTGAGTCAGGGCCAAGTAAGCCAAAACTATCCCTGGCAGGTGTTTGTCTAACCTGTTCTTAAAAACCTGCAGTGACAGGGATTCCACAACCATCCTTGGAAGCCTGCTTGAGAGCCTAAAAAACAACGTTAGCAAGTTTTTCCAAATATCTAACCTAAATCACCTAAGCTGCGGATTAAGCAGATTACTTCTTGCTCATCCTCAGCGGGTTTGGGAGAAAAAAGAGGATGGTGATGAGTGTAACAGCCCTTAAGAATACGTTAAGACTTGTCAGGTCCTTGCTCGCTCTTCTTTTCTCAAGACTTAACGTGTCCAGTTTGTGTAACCCTTTCCTCATGAATCAGGTTTTTCTAAATCTTTTTTTGTTTCTGTTGCTCTCCCCTGGACTCTTTCCAATTTTGTTACATCTTTCCTAAAGTGAGGCACCCAAACTAGATACACTGCTGCAGCAGAGGTTTCACCAATGCCAAGTAGAGTGGGACATTTCCTTCCCTTGTCTTCCATTCAACACTCCTGTTAATGCAGACCAGAATATTAGCTGCCTTTTTTTTTTTTTTTTGGCAACTGTATCACTCCTATTCAAATTACAATCCACTATGACCCCCAGATCCTTTTCAGGAGTACTACTACCCAGCCAGTTATGCCCCATTTGGTAGTTGTGCATTTGATTTTTTTGTTTTCATCCTAAATGTAGTACTTTGCATTTGTCTTTATTGGATTGTAATTGTATAGAAGCTTCAGGGGGTAGCCGAGTTAATCTGTACATGATAAACTTAAAAAACAACAAATAGTCTGATAATATTTTATAGACTAATAAAACTTGTAGATGGTATCATAAGGTAATTGTATAGTATTTGTCGTTATTGTATTGTAATTGCTCTATAGAAAAGAAATGGACTTACAGTACATATGATTACATTTGTCTAGTAAATTACCGCTATTCTTAATTTCAAACTCAATTTACACTCGGTAGTTTTATATTAAGTTAATATTTGTCTGCCCCAAAACATGGCCGTTATGACACTCCAAATCTAATTGTGTCTTCCGCTGTGTTGCTAATAAAGTTTGCTTGGATAAAATGCGGAAGTACATACAAGCACTTTGTAAATGAATACCCAGCATCAAGCAGCACTGTTGGTTCTCTGCAGGTGGTTCAAGCAATTCAGTTTTAGCAAAAGTGCCGATTACCTGTTCTGAGAGGTGACTGTAAAATGGCACAAAGAGGTTCTTGGCTCAGTTGCTCTGTTTCAGATGTACTCAGCTGATAAAAATCATCTTTTTAATTATCTGCCAACACTGCCTGGAATCTTTCTTGCTCTTGCATAATCCAGTCATAGAGATTCTGTAAATAGAACTCTGAGGGCCTTCAGCAGAATTAACAACAAACTGGCAGAGAATCCAGCCCTGTTTCCTACAGCTGAGTTGGTTCTGCAGAGCCAAACAGGAGTAAGAAATAATGTAAACTTCATGAAGCAAAGTGAGCAGATGAACAAAGAACAGATCTGTGTAGTAAGAAGGGTCATTTTCACAGTTGCTCTTGTGACTAAATTCTCATTGAGGCCTTAAAATGGATCTTATTCTTATTGTCATTTTTAATTGACCTGACTTGGAAAGGTCTACCCAAACTCCTACATTGCATCAAATAACAGGGTATCAGAAGTTAGGATTGGGGGTAGGTGGCAGTTGGATGCAGTTCTTTGCTGAATAGCAAAACTCTTGGTTGCCTCAGTGTTCTGCTCATCAGTGCTTATAAATCACAGGCTGCTCCCAAAGGGAGGAGTAGAAACTTCACAAAAGCAGGTATTGGGAACATAAAATTCATACTACAGAAAATCAAGATCCAAATGCCTTTTGGATTTACATGGTGTTAGCAGAGCAAACGGTCCTTTCTGGGGCCAAGTTCAGTGATCACAAATGGTATTTCAGAACTATTTTGTAATCTCAAACCAGCCTCCAAGTTAGTTTCTGATCCGAGTATTTTAAATTGTGCAGAGGGGTTGCTCAGGAGAGCGCTGTACATCCTGACTCTTTTTCTTAGTTTATTTTTCTAGGGTATGGAGATTTATTTTGTTTAAAAACATATTTTTGATGAACTGGCAGGGTCAGATTCTAGTTCATCAGCTGAATTTAAATTAGGACCCTTCCCTGATTGAGATATGAAGCAATTCACAAAGAAAAAAAGGTAAAAGCAGGTTTTACATAAGCACTAACAAATGTTTTCACCTGATTCCCATGTTTCAGTGCATGACATCAGCCCAGAGAATCTGATAAGAAAGCTGGTAGACTGCCAGTGCACACTTCTTATAACTGACAGTAATTACTTACCTGGATCTTCTAGTAGGATAAGTCAGTTTTCAACATCCACTTTCATTAGTGTTTTTATAAAGATCTCTGTTACTGTAAATCTTGATAAAGTGTGGCACAAAATCTCTGCGTAGTATGTATTCTGGGTAGCTATATAGTTTCAAGTGACCCTGCAATCTGGAAAATGCTACTTGGTTCTTGTATACAAGCTGTATTTTCCTTGAAAAGAATGGATACTTTTATTGCAAAATTCAAATAAGCGACCGAAGTGCTATTGATGAGAGAAGTGCCATAGGTAACAGATTGGAGAGGGAGTAGGTCAGAAATGTGCTGCTTCAGATTTGCATCTTGATTCTTTCTGGCAGATTATCCATGATGCCAGCTACAGAGACCATTTCACAGCCCTTAGGTGAGCTCTGCCATGGAGCACCCAGTGTACATATTGCAGACTCCACATGGCAAGAGACAAAAAGATTGTGCCTAGAGACCTGGCCAGCCCTAGCCTGCAGCAGAATATTACCTTTGTCTAGAATCACTGTAACTTGTGAAGGAAAGAGACACATTAAGGCTACGTCTACACTGGCATGAATTTCCGAAAATGCTTTCAACGGAAAAGTTTTCCGTTAAAAGCATTTTCGGAAAAGCGCGTCTAGATTGGCAGGATGCTTTTCCGCAAAAGCACTTTTTGCGGAAAACCGTCCGTGGCCAATCTAGACGCGGTTTTCAGCAAAAAAGCCCCGATCGCCTTTTTCATGATCAAGGCTTTTTTGTGGGAAACAGTACTATGCTGTCTACACTGGCCCTTTTGCGCAAAAGTCTTTCGGAAAAAGACTTTTGCTCGAACGGGAGCAGCATAGTTTTTCCGGAAAAGCACTGATGATTTTACATGAGATCGTCAGTGCTTTTCCGGAAATTCAAGCGGCCAGTGTAGACAGCTGGCAAGTTTTTCCGCAAAAGCAGATGATTGTGCGGAAAAACTTGCCAGTCTAGACACAGCCTTTCAGAATAGCTATTCTGGATTAGCTTATTTTGAAGTAAGCATGCAGTGTAGACGTATCCTAAGAGATGAATGTGTACACATCAGTTGCTCTCTTGGGGAACCATCTTCCCTTGCAACTCTAGCTGAAGACTAAACAGACCCTGCTAAAATATGACTGAGAGAAAAAGGTGACACAAGACACTAAAAAATCCTGTATAGGTTTTGTGAATTACTGCAAAAATAGCCAAATTTGCAACCCTCTGACTGCGTCCTTTCCCCTCTGCTTAGTACTGCATTGGAAATGTCCACCTGCAAGGGCCCCCTGGACTTAGCGCACATTATAGCTGCTTACAACTGCTTGCTTTCATGGGCTCCTGTTCTTGCTAGACATTGATAGGGCAGATCAGGAGAGGAGTGTGTATGAAAAAATAGTGGTGAAAGATGTAAGATGGCACATGAATTACACTGGGTGGGCAAGCAAATAAGGGGTCACCAGACACAGCCCAATGTCAAAGCACAAGCCACCAAGCTGTGGCCCAGAATCCCAATATGATGACACTGTATGGCTCACATATCTCATTTTCTTTTCTGTTCAGTCATCTGAACAAAATGCAAAACAAACTCATTACCAGCTTCCAAACTTTTTCGATTAAATAATTTATCATGTGAAGCCACTAACGTACCATACTAAGGACGTTAAGTAGCGTGTAATTCACTAATCAAATAGTTGATGCATTTTTGCATCGACTGTTCTGATTAGTTGATAGGACAGTGCTGCCCCTTTGAAATGCCGCCACAGTGTTTCACAAGGGCAGTGCCGCACATAGCCAGCTGCAGACACCCCAGCTGACCCTGAGCTCCATGCGGCACTGCTGCTTTGAAATGCCGCTGCGGCGTTTCAAAGCGGCAGCACCACTCAGCGGATCCCGGGCTCCATACAGCGCTGCCGCTTTGAAGTGCTCCACTCTTCCCTGCTGCTTTGAAATGCCGCTGCGGCGTTTCAAAGCGGCAGCACCACTCAGCGGATCCCGGGCTCCATACAGCGCTGCCGCTTTGAAGTGCTCCACTCTTCCCTCCCCCTCCTTGCTGCCTCTGTCTGATAGAGGCAGCAAGGTGAGGGAAGTGACTAGCCAACTGTCCTGTCGACTATCCGTTAGGCATTTGCTTATCGAATAGACTCATATACTTTAAGGTCAGAAGGGACCATTATGATTATCTAATCTGACCCCCAGCACAATGCAGGCCACAGAATCTCACCCACCCCTCCTAGAATAATCCTCTCACCTATATCTCAGATATTGAAGCCTTCAAATACTTTGAAGACCTCAAGATGAAGAGAATCCTCCAGCTGTGATCTGTACCCCATGCTACAGAGGAAGGCGAATAGTTGACTAATCGACTAGTCCTTAACATCCTATACCACACCAGTTACAATCTGAATGTAAAGTGTACATGTTATGCCTGGTGCAAAGCTTAGTAACGCTTCTCTCTCTTCTCTTCCTCAGGTTCAATGGCAAATGTAAACATTTGTCAACACTTACAAAATATTCCTTGGGGCAGCATGGATGTGATGGAATCTAGCGTGCTGAACACTAGCGAAGAACAGCGCTTTTGTTTTTAAAGCATTAATTACTTGGGTTGGTTGCAGCAATGGCTAGCAAAAGAAAATCCACAACTCCTTGCATGATACCAGTGAAAACAATGGTGCTGCAGGAGATGGAATCAGATACGGTGGAAGATCATCATGGAGAAACTCAACAGCACGTGCTTTCTGAACCACTGGCAGCTAGTGATGCTGTTGTTAACAATAGCAGTAATAATGCAGCCTTGTCTAATGGGCATCGCAGCATTATAAATGGTGATGCTTACATGTGTAAGTATTGTGATTTTGAGACTCAAGACATGAATCATTTTTTTGGACACTTGGATTCTGAGCACTTAGACTTCAGCAAAGATCCCTCGTTTGTATGTGTTGAGTGCAGTTTTCTGGCCCCAAACCACCAAGGGCTTTTGCATCACAACGCGGAATGCCACACTGGGGAAGCTAGCTTCCTCTGGAATGTGGCTAAACAGGATAATCATACAACAGTGGAGCAAAGTCTTTCTGATGCCACCAGCAACCAAGACCTTTCAGGAGAATCCTGTGAGGAGGGGGTGGATGGCCAAGCAGAGATTATCATCACCAAAACTCCCATTATGAAGATAATGAAAGGTAAACCCGAGGCCAAAAAAATTCACATGCTGAAGGAGAATGTACCAAGCCAGCCGGGCAATGAATTAGCAATGAAAGATGGTGACCAGTCATTCACCAATGGGTCTTTGCCAGCCAGCCAGTCAACAGCCAGCTCGGCAAAATCGTCTCATGTACTCAGTGGCTCCATTTTGGGAAATGTGCCTGTTTTGCAGGCAGGTGTTACACAGCTTGTGTCATTGCAACAGCAGCAGCCACCCCCACAGCTGCACCAGGAGCTACCCACAGCCAAATCCCTTCCCAAAGTGATGATCCCTTTAAGCAGCATTCCCACGTACAACGCAGCCATGGACTCCAACAGCTTCCTGAAAAACTCTTTCCACAAGTTTCCCTACCCTACAAAAGCTGAGCTTTGTTATTTGACTGTTGTGACCAAGTACCCAGAAGAGCAGCTTAAGATCTGGTTTACTGCCCAAAGGTTGAAACAAGGCATCAGCTGGTCCCCAGAGGAGATAGAAGATGCACGGAAAAAAATGTTCAACACTGTTATTCAGTCTGTACCACAGCCCACTATCACAGTTTTAAATACACCTATCGTTGCGAATGCCAACAATGTCCAGCATCTCATTCAGGCAACTCTGCCTGGTCATGTGGTGGGACAACCAGAAGGAACAGGAGGACTGCTCGTTACACAGCCAATAATGACAAATGGGTTAAAAGGAAGCAGTTCGTCTCTCACGCTAGCAGTGACGTCGATTCCCAAGCTCCAGTCAGTTTCGCAACACAACACTGTGTGTTCAAACAGCGCATCGGCGGTGAAGGTGGTCAATACAGCCCAGTCTCCGCTGGCTGCATGCCCAAGCATCTCTTCACAAGCTTTCCTGGATCCCAACAACTACAAAAATAAGAAGTCCCACGAGCAGCTGTCTGCCCTGAAAGGCAGCTTCTACAGGAACCAGTTCCCTGGCCATATTGAAGTTGAGCGTCTGACCAAAATTACAGGCCTTAGTACTAGAGAGGTTCGAAAGTGGTTTAGTGATAGGAGATACCACTTCAAGAATATGAAAGGCAGTAGAGCTATGTTTGCTGGAGATAATACAATAATTATCGCCTCTTTCCCAGACATTATCTTCACTGAGTCACCAAAGGACACTGAGTTAACTTCTATGACAGTACCGATGCCCGTGGCTCATCCCCAAACAAGGCGACAGTCTTGGCATCAAACGCCCGACTTCACCCCAACGAAATACAAAGAGCGAGCACCAGAGCAGCTCAAGGCTTTGGAAGGCAGTTTTACACAAAATCCTTTTCCTCCAGAGGAAGAAGTGGATCGGTTGAGGAGTGAAACAAAAATGACCAGGAGGGAAATTGATAGCTGGTTTTCAGAGAGGAGGAAAAAAAAGGTGACGGAGGACAATAAAAAGACAGAAGAAATGGCCCAGCAAGAGGAGGAGGAGGGTGCTGAGAGTAACTGTGGAGAAGAAGAAGACTCCTCAGATGAACTGAGGGTCTTGAGTGAAAATGGTTTATTAGATACATCAAGCAATCAGACTTCAGTGGAGCGGAAAGTTAGCCCAATTAAAATCAACCTCAAGAAGCTTAGAGTGACTGAGTCAAATGGCCAAAATGAATTGCGGAATGCAGGTGCAAATGATCCAGGGAACAACTGTTCTGGCACGCCAGCTCCCCCCGTAAAAACCAAAATGAACTTTAAAAAAACAGCCCAACAGCGGCATTTGCTGAAACAAATATTTGTGAAGACACAGCGACCAACAAATGAAGAATATGATGCCATAGTTTCTCAGACAGGTTTGCCCCGGGCTGAGTTAATTCGCTGGTTTGGGGATACCCGATATGGTTTTAAAAATGGTCAGCTAAAATGGTATGAGAACTACCGGCGTGGTATCTTCCCTCCCGGGTTAGTAGCAATCAGCCAAGCCAGCAAAGATATCCTAGAGAACTATTACAAAAAGCACAAGATGCTGTATGAAAATGACCTAAAGAGCTTGTGTGAGAGAACGAAGATGATTCCACAGCAGGTTAGGGTGTGGTTTGCTGTAAAAACGGATGAAGAAACCAGGGCCGTGTCTGACACGGGAAGCGAGGACCGATACTCGAGCACGGGCGAACAAGCTGGAAGCCAAAAAGGGACATGTGATGCCTATTCTGAGGTGTCTGAGAACAGCCAGTCTTGGGAGCCCGGGGGCTGGGAAGGCCATTTGCAATCTTCGGAGACCTTTAGCCAGCAACCCGCAGTTCAGCTGGGTAAGCAACTGATTGACAGTTTGGTTGCTTTGATTAGCTGATGGGTTGTACATAGGCCAGCACCAAGAATCAAAGTCAGAATGACACTGAACATTAGCTAACAATTGACACTTTGCGGGGTTTAATGCCCATGATTTATTGTTCAGATTTAGTGAGTGGCAGAGCTTATTTGGTGGAGGCCAAAAAAGCCAGGGCGTGGGTCTGGTTAAACCAATTAAAAAAAGAAAACAATACTTGCTGCTCCTCTAGTCAAGCTTGTGCTTTGTTCAGTTCACAAATGCAGCGGGGGGTATGTCTACACTGCCACTCCTGCAAGGAGGTTTAACGGTAGTTCGAATTAGAAGCTTTAATTCGAACTATCTAGTCCGTGCTGCGTGTAGCTGCGGGCAAGTAGTTCGAACTATGGGGCATTTAAAAATGGCGGTGCCCGGAAACATGCAAATGAAGCCTGGGATATTTAAATCCTGGGCTTTATTTGCAAGTTCGAATGCCTACATTAGCCACGCTAGTTCGAACTATGGTGGCAGTGTAGACATACCCAGGGACACAGAAGTTAGGCCTGGCTAAAACCCAGCAGGGGATTTATACCAGCATCCCGTCAGGAGAGGATTACTTGCTAAAAAGTATTATCATGGGCTGCGTCTACACTGCACCTCTCTTGCGCAAAAGCCTCTGCAAATGAAGCGCAGATTAGAATGTTGCTGCATTCCATTTGCATAATTAATTAGGGGCCGTTTTTGCCCAAGAGGCTTTTGCGCAAAAAGGAGGCATCAACACAGCTCCTTGTTGTGCAAAAACCCCCTCTTGGGCAAGAGCCGTTCTTGAAAAGATGAGGAACAGCTCTTGCGCAGCAGGCGGTTTTTGTGCCAAAATGACCCCATATTAATTATGCAAATGAAGTGCGGCAATATGCTAATCCAAGCTTCATTTGCATAGGCTTTTGCTCAAGAGAGGTGCAGTGTAGACGTAGCCTTACTGAGTGGGAGGCAGGAAACCTTGGAATCTCCCCTGGGGAGCTGCCCAAGTGCTCAGCTTACAGGGAACACTGCACTCAGAGGCCCCCCCCTTCCCCATGCAGAGCAGAAGCGTCTCCTTGAGGATCCTCAGCAGCTGGACGGTTTCTGTGCTAAACCTCGCCAGCAAAACCTTGTGAAAGCAGATGAGGCTGAAACCAGGCTCCTGCCTGCCACACTGCGGTGCTAGGTTTGGAGGCCTTGAGTGAATTCAGTTCCAATTTTTAGTGCCCCCCTCCCCCATGTTTTTAAACACAGTTTCTAGACAAGGGTTTTCTCCTTGAGGATCCTCAGCAGCTGGACGGTTTCTGTGCTAAACCTCGCCAGCAAAACCTTGTGAAAGCAGATGAGGCTGAAACCAGGCTCCTGCCTGCCACACTGCGGTGCTAGGTTTGGAGGCCTTGAGTGAATTCAGTTCCAATTTTTAGTGCCCCCCTCCCCCATGTTTTTAAACACAGTTTCTAGACAAGGGTTT